TTTGCAGATACTTTGTCATGGGACGATTTGGGGGCAATGTGAGCTATAGTCTAAACTCCTAGCAGCCCCCTTACTTAGTAGCCCCTGTAATACTCCCCTATATACGTCCCCTTTAATTAGGGACTGTAGACTATAGCTTTAGTTAGGTGGGGGAATTGCGAGGGCTTGAGATTTACGCACAAGGCCTTTAGTTTGATTGAAGCGTAGTGGCAAAGTGCTCAGGTGTAGGATGAAGGCGTGGGCTCCCCTATCACTTTGGATTAGGGTTTAGGGTTTAAGTCTGGGGGTTTGGGGTTTAGGCTGAGGAGTTCGTCTCGGGGCAGTGGTCAGATTGATTGTCCGCACAAGGCATCGGAATGAACTTCAGGAAGGCAGTAGTTCAAACATAGAAAGGGCTTCAACGGTCATTAAAAACATCTAAGTACTGGAGGTCCTTAGCAGTCCCACTCATGATTTCCTCCAAGTAGCGAGGAAACCCACACCACAGCATCCTGAACGCACAACTCTACACCCGGAACCCAAAATTAAAACCTTTAGCTTCACATCTCAAACTCTCAACCCAACACCTTGCCAGCCATGGGACCAGAAAAACGCCTTCCAGCTTGCGGGTCGCTTCTCCAGAAACCGCGCGGAAGCTGTCTTTCGCGGACTCCTTGTAGCTGTATCCCTGTTACTGGGTGCAGTATGGGCTTTCGGCTGCGCGTGAGGCTTCATGTCTTTAGAATGTATGGGCCTTTGCGTAGGTATGTGTGCTTCCAGAGCCACACCAATCGAAACTCCCTGCACTTCTAGCAGGCAACGCGCGAAGAAACAGGACGAATGTGATGCGTAACAATCCCTCTCACTCGAACCCATTCCCCACTACCTGAAAAGCAGAATGGAATTGAAACTGAAAGGTTCTGGCAGTTCTGCGGCCCTTGTACCTCACAAATATCCGGCCCTTATTATCGGCACCCACGCCAAAGACTTTTACACGCAGCTCCCGCGCTCTCACGGCGATGATGGAGTCGTTCGGGTTGTTGTGGATATTGTCCTTGGACTCTGATCTTTCAGGGCTTGTAGTTTCTGGCGGAAGGCTCAGGTCGGTGGCGTTATGTTGGTCGCTGATGAGCTCCTGCTTATTCTCCACAAGCAAGAGCTGCCATAATTGAGGCTATACTACCAGAGTGCGGGGTCGCGGTTTGAGAGTTAAACTTTCTCACTGTCCATTTCTCCTTAGCCTCCTCAAGTGCAACCTAGAGTCGTCAAAGAAGATATGCTGAACCGTGTCATCATCCAGTGTGACCCACACGGGCTTGCCTGCGACAGCTGGGCCCTATGAGGACTCCGCATGGCATGTATGCTGAGCATAAGGGGATTTCATTTCAGAGGTTTCTATGGAAGAGTACACAGGGTAGTTTTGAGAAGCTCCGCTTTGTCTACCAAGTATTTTCAAGGGCAAAAACTCCGTTCAGAGTCCCCTACCTCACTGACGGAAGGTATACTTTCTTCATGGCTACCAACAAAAGGCTGCCGAGGCTACCTCTATTGCCTCATTTTTTTGGTCGCCGGGTTCAGGATTCAGGAGTCATTGCGAAGATTAAAGCTTTAAGGGCTTCGAAATCAGGATTTGTAACTGATGGCTTCCTGTCCTTGATAGGAAGCCCTCCAATATTCGGGAACTTGGACCCCTAGGGTAGACTTCAGGATAAGGAAGCTCAGCATAGCTTATGCTGTGCGCGAAGCCTACGAACAGGCCGATCGATGTAACGTGGGTTTCCCAAGATTATAGGCTTGTAAGGGTTAGATAATTCAAGAAGGCCTCGGGGCTTAGGAGCTAGCTATTCCAATGATGCCGGCTTTGCAGGGTGCATGACTTAGAGAATTAGCTGCTGGTGCGATACCAATGGCAAGCTTCTTCTTGAGCACGCTTGCAGTAGACGCTCTAAAAGACAAATTGAAATTCCTCCCTTTTCCATGTTGTAACTGTTGGGGCTTTACTCTGGGGACACCGGTCTGAGATCATCGAATCGAGATGCGGGGAGACGTTCTGCTAACAGTTTCCGAAACAAGCAAAAAACCTGCGAGCCCTAAAGTGCCAGCTTGAATCCTCACACCCTAAGGCTGATAATACCCTGACATGTAATGAATATTTGGTAACCCGCTTCAACTGACTCTTTGACCTTCCCTAATATGACTGACATAGGGTCGGACTAGCGGCTTCAATTTTCCCTTGGTGAGCCGTGAACAACAGTGAACAACAACTACTATATGAATTGCAAGGCTATTTTCCACGAAATGTTTCAGCCGCCGGACATGCGCCTAGACCCTAAGCCCGCCCGCCTGTCTGGGGTGTGTAGTTGTGTCCCTTCCAGGCCCAATAATCGTCGCGTATGCAGATGGCCGGGCCTGCCTTTGCTTTCTGTCTGGCCCCCAGAATAATTAAGTGCAAGGTTGGGCTCTTTTGGGTTGGATTTTGGGCATGTGCTCTGAAGGTTGAACACAGCTGTTGATACCGATTGATACCCAACTCCTGCACGACCCTGACAACCCAAAACCCTTCTCCGGACAAGGATTTTAGCAATCGGGGTCCACCCTCCCTCGAAGCAAGGAACCCCACAAAGACCCTTTTTAAGGGGCCAGGATCTTCAGAGGGCATGAGGTAACTTTGACAAGTCTGCATTGAGGCCCTTTGTTTTGAATGTGTATAGGACCTAAATCCTAAACCGCGAAGGGTTTGGACGAGGCAGTGCTGAAGTGTTGTCTGAGAGGTTAGAATGCCGTGAACATTTACAGCACTAAGCCTTAAACCCCTGACGCCTTTTGAGCTAAGATTCTCAGCAGGTTTGACGGGGAAATCCATATACAGGTTGGATGTGGGCTAGGAAGCTGTTTGCGCAACATTTGTGCTGGGTTTCTGAAAAGTGTTGCTTCACTCTACCCCCTAAATCCTAAGCCTTACAATTTGAGTTCATACTGCTGGTCTGCAAGGCTTAGCGTTTAGGGCTGAGGGGTTTGGGGATTAGGGCTGAACCAGAAGCCCAGTTGCATTCAGGAAGTCAAGAATTTCGCTCTCGGTCTTCCTGGGATGATCCCATCTTACAACCCGCTGCTGCGTAGGAAATCATATATCAGTCCTTTCTATAATCCTTAAGAATATTCCTTGCAATCCCTTCCCCCATTCCTTACCCAGCAGCAGGGAGATTAAGGGCAGTCTGAAAGGCGTGTTTCCATCAGGGCTGCCATGGAAGCTAAAGCCTATGTGGTTCACAGTCTCAGAATCCTGTAGCACCTGGATGCCCCATCCAGGGTTCGGAGGTTTGGAATTTGGGTTTCAACTGTTTCAGCGGGCTAATTTGGGTATCTTTGGCTTTAAGGCTTTAAGGCCTAGGCTTTGGACCAAGACCTCTGTAGCCTGTTTGCCGCGAAAAACAATTGGCTACCTGGCGTCTGCTCTGTATACTTGCGAACGTCTGGAGCTGAGAGATCTGCTCCAAAGCCGTCAATGCCCGTGTACTCCTTGCCAGCGAGGGCCGAGGGCTCATCAGGCTTTACAGGGGCCAGGCTAAAGGGTCTCAGGGCTTGTAGTAATTGAAGGGTCACAGCCTTATGATTTGGATTTTGGGTTTAGGGTTGAAGGGCCGCAAATCAAAAATGATGCACTGCGCTTGCGGCTTGAGATTTGAGCTACAAGTTCTAACGTTAAGGTTGATTGATGGCTATGTCCTCAATAGACAAAACAAGCCTCCCTAGCCTTGAGGATAGGCTTTTCTGGGTTGCTGTCAAGAAACTTAAGTTAAGTTACCATAATACATGTGTATATATATATATGTATATAGTAAATATTTGGCTTTCCGTATTACGGTACTTTATCTAAGGTCCTTAGCAGCAACCCAGTGTTGGTCCAGCAGGTCCGTGTTCAAGCATCCCGGCTTAAATGCTCGCAGCCGTCTTCCAGAACCGTACATCTACAGTACTCCTTAGAGCCGCCTTCAAACTCAAACAACGAACGCCCAAACTCGGCCATCACCGCGTTAGCTGCTGCGTGCCTGGAACGCGAGGAAGGCTAAAGCGCATACCCCTAAACCCTGCTTCGTCGCCACGCGGCATGACAAGTTCACAGCCAAGGCTCTTCGTACCGGCGCATCACGATTGGGCTGGCTGGGTTGGACCTACATGGTCAGACAAATTATGGCATTTTTGTGCCTAGGGCTTCGATAAAGGGTTCATGACCACAGTTCGTTGATCATCCAAAAAATGATGCGCCAGCTCTTCCTGCCCTTCAGAGCCTAAGAACTGAAAGAAAGTCTCTAGGTAATTTACATTCTACGCAAGAACGAGGCGGCAATAAACTCATGTACTTAGTTTGGCTTCTATGCTACTTCAAGATTGCGGTTATTTAGGAGTTCTACTGGATCATCGGAGCTCTGTGATCTAGAAATGCCGGATCCGTGAGAGCCCGCATATGACAAATTCCTAGAATTTCTTTTGATCCAGGATCCACAAGCAGGCTTGCACCAAATGCTTTGTTCCTAGACCCTTCGGCGAGACCCGCAGACATATCAACTCCAAGACTGTTGCAGTCTTAACGGCCTTACCATCAAGAAACAAAGCAAAAACTGAAACACCGCGCCTGTCTTGAAGCTGTATTCCCCAATGCGACTGCTCTCGCACTGACCTTTCTCCGGGGTTTCAGGCTTAGTGCTAGTGCTCTTATCCCTATGTCCATGGCAAGAAACCCAAAGTTTCTTGCCTGCATCGGGGTTTTGGCTGCCCAACTGACTCGACACACTGACTTCTAGAATAGTAGCTCAGTTAAAGTCGGATTCGAAGGGTGGTGCTTGGCTCCTGCACCCTCGAACAAACAGAAACACTAAGACCTCACGACCGTTAGCTACAACCTTGGTAATGTAGGGGCCTAAGGCATCCAATCTCAGACGGGTTCACCTTTGGGGAGCTGAACAACCGCCAGGCTCTACCTCAGATCAACCTGAATCCTAGGCACTACATCAGCCTAAGCCCTAAACCCTGCAACATTGGCACCTGAATTGGCTCGCCACTGGGACTTCAGGAAACTCTGGATGTTCACCTTCGCAGTAAGTTGTTGTACGATTTAGCGGTGCGGGCGTGCCATTAACAATTTCCGGAGATCTCCACAAAACCAGCTGGCACTATTATTGCGTAGTAGCTGGAAATTATCTGGGTGACGAACTTTCCCGAACAACTGGCATCAGGAAAGCTTTGGAGCGGAGGCGCCTTGTGCAAACTTTGCAATGCAGTGCGCCACTTCCGGGATATCGACACCAAAGGTGCGAATCACGACCGAAAAGTCGCGACCCTGCTCGGGGCTGGTCCATCCACATGAAATGTGTGGTTGTTGGATTCACGGAACTGAAAAGTCTTAGCCGAACAACCCTGATGAGGATAGCCTCGAGCTCAATCTCCAAACTGCAAATCCTCAAGCGCATGAAGAAGCAGTCTTGAGGCACAGCCTGCTTTTGTAGTTCCACCAGAGTGTGGAAGAACGCGGGGAGCAAAAAATGTTTTCCGCCTGGAGCGGAAGAACGGAGCCCTAACAGCAAGTGTTTAGGATTTGGATCTAGGCTGTGGGAACAAGTAGTGTTTAGGCACTTACCCCGATGTAGGCTTTCCTGCTTTCAAGGTTTGTGATTTCTGGTGCTTGGGCCGGGGATTTGACGCGTGATCTACTTCATGGTCACGGCTTGCAACGTTTGCTTAGCATTCCAAGGTTCATAGGGAAACCTTCTGTAGCTCTCAGTTCCATGGCCACCAGCAGTAAGAGTCACTACACAATATCATCAATGGTTTCTTGCTGAAGACTGAGACTGCTAGGTACCGAATCGCCTTTTAAATTAATAGTCATGTTGAGTAGCACGCACAAGTTGGTCAACGATTGGGTTTACAATTTTTCTGTTTGCTTTTTAGGGCTCCGGGGCTAGATGGCAGGTTTGTGACTCATGGCCTGGAATCCACGACTCTGGAGATAATGTTGAGGCGCGAAGTCTTGCATGACCTTTGCATAGCAGGATACCATACTTCCGATCCAGTCAGGTACATAGGGCCTGGCAGAATTCAAAAAATCAACTGTACGTTCTTGGCCATTTTGTGCGACATTCTCCTACACCGACAACTGAAGAGTCAAGAATAAGGGAATGTAATCTCTAAATAATCCCCATACTGTATTCCCTTATTCCCTATCAACCCTAAACCCTGACCCGCACATCCCAACATGCCCTCAGATGCCAATCATTAAAACAACCACTTTGGCGGGAGCGTCAATCAAAATCCCCTGCCTGGAGCGAAGACGCGATCTGGTTCATGCTTCCAGTTAAGTGCTTCCAGCAGCTGCTCGTACCTAGGGCTGATCTTGCTGAGCCCTTCTTGGGATATGATCACAATTTACACCAGTGTGTAGCTTTTGGAACTTGGGTATACCGAAAAACTCGAAATTATAAAGCCGACAACGACCTAGCTTTGGAGTTCGGCCAGAGGGAAGCTGAGAACAAAAGATCATCTGTGAATTATGGTTTATGAGCCATGATTCTAGTAACACTATTTTTGGTGTAGGCTTTTGAGGTTAAAAGCTTATTGTTAAAGGGTTGAGAGCTTGCACTTTATGCCCAGAGCCGCCACACCCGTAAAGCATTCCTAAACCCTAAACCCCAAGCCCAAAAACCTAAACCCAATGCTCTGAACCCTAAAGCCTAAACCCTAAGCCTTAAAAACCTAAACCCAGCCCTGTTGCAAGGGGCGATAGACTGACCCTGGCAGACCGGGCTCTGTGAATTTTGATGGCGGCCAGATAGGATCTCTCCTGTCGGCTATGGGTTGCGGCTTAGGGCTTTCTGGGTTACTGTTGTAAGCAGCTTAATTCAAGTTACCATATTATGGGTATGTAGTACGTAGTAGGGTTTTCGGGTTAGGGCTTACTTACCATTTTTGAAGCTTCAGGATGTCTGGCAAATGTGGCTAGGGCAAAAGCCATTCCACATTTAGGGTTTAGGGCTTACCTACACCTCTCCAATGTGGAAAGGAACCATGTAGGGCTTTTGTGATTGTATGGCTCAAGGTCTAGAAGGGCTGGGGGTTAGAGGGTTTGGCGCTTTAGGGTTTGGAGTTTGCAAGCTAGGGTGTTGAATCACGCATTCAGCTGGATGTAGGCCCAATGCAGAGAGCTAGCGACACACTGGCTTTGGGGGATTGAGGGTACGGAGCATGTTGCTTTTTCTTGAAGAAGCGCTGAACTGTCCAGCTCTCGCAGTCCAGTAAGCCAGGAGAGAGATGCTGTAAGACACAGTGTCCTGGAATGAGCTCCCCTAAAACAATTTTCATACTGATCTCAATCACAGCGCCGCGGAATGTGGACCCGTAAAGGCGACCCCGTCAGCCTGAAATTCTGTGCTCCTGCTCTTTGATCTAGCGATTAAATCCTTAAGTTTGAATTCAACACCGTCAGCTCTAAACCCTAAACCCAACAGAACCCAAAATCCGTGACCCTTCTCAGACCAGGAGGATCTAAAATCTAAAATGCAGGATCCCAAATGTAGCGTTAAAACGGATAGTTTGCAGTATGCACTTTTTAGTCCAAGATCCTCCCAAAGGTTTGAGGAAACCAGAAATCAATTCAGATGCCTCATTTTGTGGTAACATTGAGCACTTCCAGGGGTTGCGTCGAATGCCTGCTCCGCTTCTCCAGCTGCGAGCTTCTCAAACAGGGCAGGGCCCTAGAAATTTTGCCTTCTGAGGATGACATGACAGGAGTCCATGTAGACTCTCACCTCCTGCTGTTTGCAATGGTTTCCAGATCTCATACAATCTTTCTTTCCATCGTGGGTTGATATGCGAATGCCCATGCCCTAAACCCATTTTTCTGTGCCCTAAGCTCTACAAGATAAGCCCCATATGCACCCCACCTATATACTATACCCAAGACCCTTTACCTGGGTCAGAAATTGGAGTGGAGACCTTGGAATGATTTGTCTTGTTATTTACTTGGATAAATGTTCTTCCTGTCGAACTTGCGGCAAATCTACCGTTGAATCGGGGTAAAGAACATAAGCAAAACTCCATAATGTTCAAGGCGCCACAGCCTGGAGGCCCTGTGAACATCAGGTGCTTAAGCTGTCTTGAGATTCTCTATAAGGAGATTGCAGCACATGCGTGTCAAAATGCTCTGATGCTACATCCGAACACTGAAGACCATAGAACCCCCCCTGTGCAGGGTGCTGAGCTGCAGATATTGAATGGGCGTAGCAAACCCATGCACACTGCTCAGAAATTGAAAAGAATACCGACCTTAAGAACTGTCTCAAGAATTTTCCAGGAAACAGAAACTCCAGCAAAGCTCGCGCAGATCCTGCATCATGCTTGTAAAGCGCCGAAAAAGGCAAGAACGCCACCAAAACATCCCAAAAAGACACAGCTTAGCCTGGCAAAAGCAGCCTTGCAGCATCCTAAAGAATAACAAAGATAACTAGTCAGGACATCGAAGTTTATCAGGCTTCTGAGCACATAATCGGACGCTGAACCTGAACCTTTCAGCCCGACGCTTCTTGCGAAGAACCGTAGCTTAAAACCTCTACATAAAGGCTGAAAACTTCGGTGCTCTAAGCCCTGAAGATTAAAACCCTTTAGATCTGAACCCAATGCCTGAACCCTGAACCCTAGACTGAAAGCCTCCAAACCTTTACTATACAGAGGAGCCTTTAGGGGTGCATGATACTTTCATCGTAAAGGATTATCAGGGAATAATGCTTTTTTTTGTGGTATCTTCCTTAAACACCTTAGAAGCCTTAGAAACCGCAACATGAACCTCATTTCGTTTCCATTTATTGTCTTCACTTGCTTCTCAACCGTCCTAACAACTGCTTAGGGTCCTACAGTACCCTTGAACGCGTACAGAACCACCTAGACCCAACAATGCCTACAACCCTTCCAAAAGTACCCTACTGATCCTACTGCCTGCAAAGTTTTACGGTACAATCCGGACGAGGAGCTGTGATCAAATCTGGCGGAGCACCGCCGGCTCGCTGCGAGGTGTCCAGTGGCGAGCCATCCTTGGACACACAATCTCAAAGTGAAGAGTGCATGTTTGGGGCTTTAAGGATTAGGGGTTCCGGGTGGGGTTTAGAATTGAAGGTTTGGTTAGGGCGGGTATGACTTTAGAGAGTTTGGAGGCTACGGCTTTTGGCTTGTAGAGTTCCGGGATAAGGGCATAAGGCTTGAGGTTCGAATGAGAACATCCACAGATTTTGGGACTAGAACTTTGTGACTGTTTACGGTGCATGCGACCGGAACGTGTACAGGATTTTGGGAAGTGGGTGCAGAATTCATGGGCTGATGGGTTACGGCACCCTAAACCCTAAACCACCTGTTTTGGAAAGAGTTCTACAGATTGTATTGAGAGATTATACAGAAATTTGCAGACGTGTAGGAAATCACTGGTTGTTGATTGACAGCCTGGGAAGGCTAAACTCTCCTTCCAAGAAATCCCGACCAGTCCCCTTGACTTGGCTTCAATATAACAAATTCAACAATGACGCCAGAAATCCAAACTCCTACACTGCTGACCTCTCGCTGCAAAAACCTTTACGAAACAAAATGATTTTGCTGTTCCTCATCTTTTCCCTGCTTCTGCCTGCTGCTGCATCCTCTGGTTGGGCGTCTCTAAAGGCCCATGTACGATTAGGGTTACCTTCTTTCCGGTGTGCAAAAAACGTTGGTGCCTCTTCTGCGCCAGACAAAATGCAGTCACAATATGATCATCATCATCCTCATCATCATCATCATCATCATCGCTGTGGAGCTCATGGATGCTCAACCCATATGTTCCAGGGAACAGACGAGCCTCTTTTCAGGCTCTGGAAGGGACGGGCCCCAAAAATCATGCAGAGCTGACCCTAAACCCTAAACAGGACTCTTCAACTTTCAAGCTGTCATTTTACACGGCAAACGGGATAAGTCCCAGCTCGACTCTAACCATATCATACACAGGACACCTGCCGCATACCCTTCTGAAGCGCCCGCGCGGACCTGCGCAACAACTGTACAAACACTCGTCGGTGTTCTACCTGTTTGCTGCCGGAATAAAGACAAAGGAAGATAACAAAAACGAGAGGGAGTGGTAAAATTGCAGAAGCCTGAGGTCAAGCAGAAAGCAGCAAAAACCTACTGGGGGGTTAGTAGGGAATAAGGAAATATGTTCTATGGGGACTATGTAGGAATTATATTTCCTTATTTCCTACTACCCCCCCCCCCACCCCCCCCAGAAAGAAAAATGTGCTACTGCGAACGCAAGTTTCGTGCCAAGCTTTTCCAGAACTGCACAGAAAAGCTGCCTTGGCAATGATTGGGTTGCTGTCAAGGAACTTAGGTTAAGTTACTAGAAGGAGGAAACCCCATTATTTACGATATACCCATAATATGGTGACTAGTTTAAGTTCCTTAACAGCAACCCAGTAGAAAAGCTGCCTTGGCAATGATGTTGTTCAGCGATTGGCCAAAGTCCACGCCCGACGCCGGATCCTAGAATTAGAGTTGGGGAGGGGATTTGAGGTTTCAAATTTTAAGGTTTTGCCTATGGGGCATGATCTTCAAACGTAAGCCTGAAAGAAGAAGGCACCAACATGACAGGAACTGTCCGAATCAAGATGCACAAGCTGAGCCCCGTCTTTTCCAGATCAGAATCCTGTATGATAAGAATTGCGGGGATGTCATTACCCCTGAGACCCTGAACCTCACGCACATTTTCCTGGTAAAGGTATAATTGGCAGTCCGCGGAGTAAAGGCTGTAGATCATGATCCACACTTTTACTTACTGGTTTTTAGTACGGAATATGGGAATAGGGACTAGAAATAGGGTTTGTATTCCCTTGTTTCCTACTACTGTCAATGCAAGAATCAATGAGTTTAGGAAAAAGGAACTTTGGTTTGGGGCTCAGGATTTTTGATCTGCACCCCCGGCCATACATCCTAACCCTTACACATTACATTTCTGTTGCCTTACATGTATTCACGTTGTGTACTTCAGACTTGTACCTGACTGTCAGATGCAGGTCCTAGCAAAATGCTGAGATCCGACAATTTCGCGGCACGACTAATGATCTGCTGCGGGTATCAACTCTAACAAAGCTCCGGGAGCTAGGAATCCTGCTAGATACTGCATGATGCAATTGCCGTGGAACTTAGCCCCTGCATCCAAGAACGGAAGTTAACGGAACAAAGTGATAAACACCTGCAAGTACCGCACGGTCGTGAATCAAATTCGGGAAGCCTAGGATACTACCCCCCACCTTATGACTGTGCCCCAACGTTTTAGGACGGGTCCTATGTATGAAGGTGATAGGGTGGGAGGGTAGCCAAAAGAAACGTAACATGACCTGGAGGTAGCGAATTTGAGGGTTTAGGGCTAGATGGTTGGGGGGTTTAGGGGTTCTGGGTTAAGGTTTCGGGTTTGCTGCCAAATTAACATGCAAGGCGTCTCCCACCATGATCGTCTCATTCACATCGAAATGCAGCACCAGTTTTCGAGGCTTTCTTGATTCTGCCCGTTCCATGAGGCCTGCAGGAGCGAGTCAGATCTCAACCGAAAGAACTGGGCATTGAGGGCCTCTTCAGAAACCTACGAATAAAGCGTGGCTGTTGGGAAACAGGCTCTGTGCAGGGTATCCCGAAACAACACTTAACAAAGTATCGCTGTCGGAAAGCCTTTTGGAGCCAGTACCCTATATGGGTCACAACTAATCAATTTTCAGGACGGGTTTAAGGTTCCGGCTTGTTGTTCTGGTCATGCCTATAGGCATAGCAGGAAACCTATGGAGTCTCTGCAGCCGTGGAAGCATGTGCAGCGAGCAACAAAATCGTGCCAAAGCTTAACTGCCTGCATCTATATTGCAGCGTCTTTGCAGAACAATTGTAACTCTCAATCCAACCTGGCCCATCGGTGATTCAAAGGGGCTGTGTGGCCTTTAGCACAACAGCCCCCAACCCCGCGGAACCTTGCACAAAAAACCGCGCTGTGGGAGGCCTGAACTTGACTTTTGACAGCAACTGCTCCAGCTATGCGCCCTTTGCCAACTTGAACCTCAATGCTTCGGATTCAGCAAAGTACCTATGGGGTCATTCCCCCTACCAGAATTGTTACCACAATGGGTAATAGGAGCTAGAATACCCTCTAAATAAACCCGCTTCCAGCACAGTTACTGTGAGGGGGAGTGACCCAATGTATCTGAGCATGATTTACGTAGGGTAGTAAAGCTGGTAAGGTGAACCATGGTGAACGATCGTAATTCATTGTCTTACTTGGTTCAGATCATAGTTGCCAGTCTCAAAACTGTGGGGCCCATGTGGGTACAACAATGCAGTATAGCACCTTGAGTTTAGCGATGCTACGATGGGACCGTAATTGTAGAAACTACCCACACGCAACATTGTTATAAACTATGTCCCACTGATAGGCGGATAGTGATTTTGAAAGCCTGGTCTGGAAAAATGCAGCGACTTTTTTCTATGTGGCTTTGCAGAAGCTTGGCGGTTCGCGCGGAAAGTAGACCTCAGCGCATTTCTTTGTTGCTTTTTAACTGTTAGGCTTGCAGGGCTCTACGGTTGTAAGCAACAAGGCTGAAACTTTCATGCAGAAAGTAAACCTCGGCTTAATGGTGTTTCGGAAGCCTCTCAAAAGCTAGACGTCATTGTGGAATGTTTCTACGCAGATGACAGGCCCGCTTTTTGGTTCGCACCTGCGACTCCATCTGGGCATTTCCATAAATGCAGGGGCCTCCCTCAGCTCAAACCCAATATGCCACAAAATTTAGCATAGGGACCGCTACGAAAGTTGGTGTGAAAGGTTTCCGAACAAATTTGCTCGGCTTCGGAGGTCTGATCCAAAATCTGTGGGCCAAAATATGGGTTTAGGGTTTAGGGTATAGCGCATTTATAATCCCTGAAATAATCCCTATATACTTCTCCCCCTTATTCCGAGTCCTTATGTAAGAGCTTCAGGACTAAAGACTGTTGCAAGCTGACAACGTTTTATCTGCAGAGTTGGTGGTTGCTCTCCAAGCTGTGATTAAACCCTAATCCCTTACCCCTAACTTTAACCCTAAACGCTATATACACGTACGTAATTGCCTTCATCAGGTACACCTTGGGGATGCAGGGCTTAGTGCCTCAGCGATCTGAATCCTCCTTCATAAGACCTGAAGCGCTAAAACCTACATGATCATAAGGCTGAAGGCCAAATCCATAAATCTTTACGGCGGTCCACAACAAGCCCTCAAACTGTCCCAAATGCAAAGCCCTGAGCCTAAGCACCACACCGGAATGTCTAAACGGCAAACCTTAAGACTGAATACCCCAAGCCCAAACCGGGTTGTTGTTAAAGAAGTCAGCTTAAACTACTATAATGTGGGTATATGGAAAATACGGATCAACAGTACTAGGAACTCTTAATTTTTTGGTAACTGAATCTAAACTCCTTATCAACAACCCATCAAAACATCCTCGAGAAGCCAGCGGGAAGTCGCCCCTGCCGGTCTGCATCCCATCCATCCTTGGCACACGGTTTGATGTTAAGATTTTGCCCCTACCTTGGTCCCCAAACCCCGGATTTGTTGCAGGGATGACATGGGGCATTGTCGGTAGTTCAAAGATACCCGATGTCATAATCCCCTCCCCCTGATATCAAAGTCCCTCACCCCCCCTTATATTCAATATTCCCACAGTGGTAGAGTATCATATATGAGAAATGCTCACCCTAAACCCTAAACCCTAAATAAATCCAAATAATAACTCCAATATGAGGGGGATGGGGAGGTTTTAATACTTGGGGGAGGGGATTACCTGCAAATAGCCACGTCGGAATCCTGCAGCAGGCAAAGGTATCAGTTTGGGCTACCCGCGGATATTGATTTAGGGTTTAGGTTTGGGGTGTAAGGCTTAGGGTTAGGTTTTAGGGTTTAGGATCGCAAAGCCTGTGAAATGATTGGCTGACCCAGGTAGGTGCAGTCCTTGAGGTTACCAAAAATCAACTCAAGCCGTGCTAGACGGCAAATGTGTCACCAAATCCCTGCGACGCCAGAGAGGCGCGTAACACATGAAATGCTACCTCAAACACACTGGGCCGCAGCAAGCCTGTGTAAGTCCAATTTTTTTCCAAATCTGAATGACCAGAACGAGAACACGACTCCAGGGCTTCTAGGATGAGCAGGCTGTTATTCCAGGAGCTAATTATACAGAACGTAGAAAATACATGCGAATGACCCGAGTTTCTGCATTGCAGGCACAAACTCGAGTCTACAGGTCGTCGGGAAGCTACCAGTTCTCAAAAATCACGCTCTTAGCTCTGAACCCTTACATGAAGAACTTGAACTAAACCCTGAGCCACTCGACTCCGAATCTTAATCCCTAAAGCCCGCCCCACAAGCCTGAAACGAAGTGTTGATACCTTTTTCACGCTGAGGCAGGGCGCGCCGGAGTGAGAACATTGGCTTCTCCAGCAAAGCTTGATTGCCGGGAGGTACATTGGAGCTTCCATGACAATCTCATACCGCACAAAATGACTAGTTGCAGACCAGCTGAACTAGGTGCACAAGACGGAGGTGAGCGCACTCCTTTTTCCAGCCACGACTCGATTCAGTGGCTAGATTTCCCCAACTGGTGTATTAACAGGTGCACTTTTGGTGCACTGTCCCGTAGAATAGTTTGCACCTATGGTGCATTCATGATGCGGGACTGGGTAATCGTCGATGTTGAAGGCGGTGATGTCCCCCATGTGGATCGGTGCGAAGTGCTCATCGAGAACCGCGATGCACTCGGCGTCAATCTCCCTACTCATGGTGAGTACCGGCTGCATCCCCAGGTTGAGGAAGGCCAAGCTGGGTGCTCCAATCCCATCGAAGAAGCTGAGGTGCACCACTGATGTATCGTGGAAAAGTTTGTACGACAACTGTTGGATCCGTTTCTGTCCACCCGACCCCGTCACCTCGGTGGTAAGGTCTGATGGACAGTTACTGTTCTTCGTTGGGTCGGCTCCAGGCTCTCGTCCTGGGCCGTGCTGTCCCTAATGCTGGGCTTTTCCGCGGCCGCGGCCCTTGTTGCCTTTCTGGTCTTTGCCTTTGCCCTTGGGTTGCTGAAGCTGGGCTTGCTGTCCTTGTTGTTGCCAGGTGTTGAACGCCGGTTGTTGCCAGTTGATGTTGGGCTGTGGCATGATCTGAGGTTGTGGGATAATCGGTGGGTTCGGAGGGAAGGCGTGAGGTGCTGGGGCCATCGGCCACTGCGCCGGCATTGCGGGGTGTTGTATTGTTGATTCCATCCCTTGTATCCTTTGCCCTTCCCTTTGTAGCCACGGCCCTTCCCGTTGGCTTTGTTGCCCTTGAGGCGCTCCTGGTAGCGGTCGTGGTTGTCTGTTGTCCTCTGCTTCTTCTTGGGGGACTGCATGAGGGCGTCATTGACGGTGGCCAGGTCTGCCATGAGCTCTTCGGTGATGGTGCTGAAGGTCTCTGTCTGTCTCATTCTCATGGCGATGTCCCATGCGAAGGATTCCCACAGCGTCTTGATCTGGGGAAGTTTGGCGGAGTTCCGGCGGACCAAGGTGATCCACCAATCGCAATATTTGTTGACTGCCTTCTCGGTGCCAAACTTGATGAGGATCCAAGCCCAGCGAACTGCGTCGATGCCGTCTTGAATCATATTGAGGCCCCTGACGTCCCAGTCTGATGGTTCCTTGGAGACCAATTAGTGCTTGTTGTCCACCACGAGGCGCTTGTCAAGGTCATCTTTCTTTCGTGCTGCATTCACGGTGCCCAGTGCTGTGAATACTCGCTGGGACATGATCTCGCCGAGCGTGATGGCCGTGTAATGCTTTGAGACGGTGTGTTCGTGGTGCATACGTGCCAAGACTTTGTCAGCTCCAAGGAGGACCCTCTCGGGGAACTCACGTTTTTCGCCATTCAAGGTGACGTCGTTGTAGTCCTTGACGAGCTGGTTATAGACTCCGGCTGGAAGCGTTTTGGGGATGGTGTCCTTGTCGGTGGCGGAACTCGCTGCTGCCATCGGTGTCGGTGTAGGGGTTGGGGTCGGCACGGCTGCTGCGATGCTGGCCTGATACTTCATCTTGACGATCTCGTAGAGGACTATCCACGATGCTGTGACGGCGTCCGGGTCCTCGGTGCCCAGCTTGTACTCTGTACCTCTGACGGTGATCCCAGCTGCCAGTTTCTGGACTGCGGTCTGCACGGCGTTGACGTCCTTGAAGTACACCGCAATGGTGCTCGAGGTCTGGATCTTGATGGCCTTGAGGTATGCCATGACGGGGTCAGCGTTGAGATCCACTCCCGCCTTCTGTGCTGCCAAGTTGAGGTCGGCATCTGCTGTCACCATGGTGGGGTATGTGACGGGGCAACTACTCGCTTAAAACATTGGGCTACGTTGCGAGAAGACAAGAAGGGGGTTGAGTCAATGTTTTGCCAGGCACAACTGACTGATGTTACACTGAGGAATTGAGCTCTTGTGCCTTTTTGGCTGAGGCGGTGTCGTGGGTGGTCTCTCCTACTGCACTCCCCTTCTTTGTCCCGCTCGGTGGTAAGACGCGGAAGGGGGTTCTGGATGTATGCCAAAATGGGCCCCATCACCTCGGTGGAAAGGCCATGGCGGATGCTGCTCAGAATGCCTCCGTGGGGGCGTTCCAGATCGTCTCCTCATCGCTGTTGACGTCGGTGATGGCCGGTGTCTCCTGGAGCTTAAAGCATCGTTGGCACTTATTGCCCTCTGGCATAGTCCAGAAAGGTGTGTGTGGCGAGGAACCGTACTTCCAGCCGCAGAGGGTATGCCAATGGATGTTCTCTGTGGAGAATTGGGGGGCGCCGGAGATGTGCACGACATTGGTGGAGGTGTTCTTGATCCAACACTTCCCTGAGATGGCCTCGAGGTACTTTTTCACCATGCCTTGGACCGCCTTCTGTGTCGGGATGCGATTCACGGTGGTCCTGGCGGAGGTGGATCCCGTCGCGCACGACGGCGGTGTATCCTGCACATAGCGCTTCACTGCGTCACTGCCCCAACGACCGATGAGCTGGACTGTCTCCATGGGGTAGCCGAGGCGGGTGAGGAACTGTGCTCCGGAGACCCGGCAGACGTGCTCGTTGAAGCGTTGCAGAGGTTGTCCTTGCGGGCCTGGTCGGGTCAGCTGTGCTCCGGTGGCCTCAATCGCGGTGCGAAAGACCTGGATCGTCTCCTCATGGGTGATGGCGCCACCATTGACTCGAGGGTGTGGTACGGGCATAGGTGTGCGATGCCGTCTGCACACATGCATGGATGGGACCTGGTGATACACATCCCGCTGGTATCGGTTTTGTGACAGGGCAGCGTAAAGAACGCCATCCTGCCGAACGGTGTGGTTTCGAACCAAACGTGTTCCCGTTTGGCTGCTGCCATGCCTCGCAACATCCACCAACAGCAGACGATGGCCTTGAGGGTGGGTGGTCCGAGGCCGCGTTCGATGCTCCTGAGCGTCTGCTTGATGAGGAGCTCGATGTCCATAGATAGAGGCTGCTTCACCAGGGCGACATGCTGCTGGCGGGCCATGCTGAAAACTTGTGGCGCTGAACGGTAGCGACCTTGTTTCAGGCTGGCCCCGATGGCGTTGACAAGGTCGATCGTGATGGGAAGAGGAGGGATGCCCCATTGCTGAGCCAACCGTGTCCACAAGTTCCAGCGCGAATCCCGGGTGTTCCGGGTATTGTTGGCGTATTGATCTCGCTGCAGGTTGCGTAGAACTTCTTCTCGAACATCTGGGTGTGCGGCTGCCATCGCGCCGGTGATGGATCCTCTGGTGCGGTGGGAAGGTCTGTTCGCTGATACGGGGATCTCGGTGTAGGCCGCTTGGGAATAGGCCTGTTGAGTAGGCGACAAAGGCGTTCCAGCTCTTGGTATATGTTGTGGCCACTCCCATGATCTGCTCGGGGGTCATGCCGTTGAGCTGGTCCATGTCGCGGATCCCCATAGACGCCAGTTTCGGGGCCAAGCTGGTGACATCCGCTGCCCTGAGTTGCGCCAGGACATCAGCAAAGGTGCCCATGATGGTAAGCGTAGAGGGTCTCTGGGGCACTATGTTGGGGAACAGCTGAACCAGAGGGGCTACAAGGAACACCGAGCTAAAGGATTTACGCCAACTATCAATGCATGTGCCATAACAGCATGGACATGTCAGAGGCAATAACCGCCCTTCGAAGTTTTGATGGACGATGATCGATGTTTCTTTGAGACATTGCTCGTCTCTGTTGTGGGTCGACTTTGGGCCATCACCTCGGTGGGAACCCGCCGTCGCCCGAACGGTGAAATGCCAGGAGGTATCTATGTCACAGCCTTCTGGGGCTGAACTTGATGAATGTCCGACAGGGAGCCTTCACCTCGGTGGGAACCCCCCGTAGGATATCTTCGGAGCACCGTCTGCTCATCTGTGAGGCGTCTCGCTTGGCCGTGGCGCGGAGGAGGCCGAGCTCGTGGTCTTGGATCAGCCGGAGGCGCAGGTAGGACAAGGCGATGAACCTGCAGAAGTCATTCTGCGACATGACCTTCGTGGTGTCCGGGTCCCAGGTGTAGTGCGTCATGTCATAGATGGGCGGGTCAGCCACGAAGTGCTCCATGGTGTAGCCGTTGAAGGCCTCGTTGAAGAACTTGTCTGGGCGCTGTATGGTGGGCAGGAGGTCCAGTCGGAATGGAGGTCTGGCCGCGTGGTTGCGGTAGATGATGTCCTGCACAAGGTTGGGGGCCCAGGTCTCCCGCTGAAAGTACGGAAGAGGTTGGCTCTTGGCTGCGGAGTCTTTGATGGCCTCGACGAGGAACGCGTTGAAGTTATCGCGGCTGGAGACCTCTTCCTGGATGCCGAGGATGGCGGCCTTGAGCTTCTGTACCAAAACATCCTCCTCGATGAGGTAGAGGATATGCTGCTGCGCATTGGTGTCTGGTGTGGTGGTCACGCGTCGATCTTTGAGGACCGGGCTCCGGTGGCTGTGGCGAAGTCGGTGCCGTCCTTGACTGCGACAACGAGGGCCTTCTGTGCGGGGACCAGGTCGGACTCCTCGACCCAGGGGCGGTAACGCCACAGGCAATGGGGGCAATAGTATTTGCTATGTTGAGATGCAATGGAGTCCGGTGAAATCTTGCGCAGCCAGTGCCTGTTGTCGATGACCGCCTGGCAGCCCACCTTCCTGCAGATGTAGTGCTGGTCGATGTGGGTCGTAATCTGGTGGGCCCAGTCCATGAGGTGATTGTCCGTGTAGGCGCGCTCAAATTAAGAAGGAATGCTGATCCCAATTTGGATCGATGGCGGACTTCAAGGTGTTCTCGTCCCACTGACGATACGCTGCCATCATTCGCGCGCGCTGGACCTTGGTCCACCATATGGAGGATCCGAGCGCGGAGGAGCTGTCTCAGCTCCTCCTTGTTGGCGCCCGGGCGCTCCTCGGCGATCTGTTTGGTGGCTTCGACCCAGTGGACGTTCCGGGGTCTGTAGCGCTCGCTGCCCTCTTTCCGCTTGATGGTGCGGACTTTCTGGCAAATGCTGTACCAGGTATTGATGTCCAACTGGTTGGAGCCCTTGGGGTTGCCCGCCTTGGTGACCACGTGATGACGGACCCAGCGCATCTTGGAGTCGCTCCAGAGGGCCTCGATGTGCAGGCGCTTTTGGTTGGTGTTGCCGTCGTCTATCGCGATGATCCAAGATCTCGGCTGCTGGTGATAGTCCGCGTCGAGGTTGGCAACTGGCTGTCGTTGATGGTGTTCATAGTCGGTGCGTCCAATACTCACGGCTGTGCCAGGCTGACGGTGAAGTGCCGGGGACAATGTCGGGTGTTCCGGGCGCCAATAGAGGTCGTCGTTTTCACTCGATGCACACTGGTAGCAGCAGCGGAAATACTGCCGCCGCCAATCTGATGTCCCTTGCGGCGTGAGGTCCAGCAGCCAAAAGTCGGGGAACCAAGCCCCGCAGAACGTGCAGTCGAGGCAATTGTCGTGGTGGGTGGTGGACTCGTTCTGCGCCAAGCTGCAAATAGTTGGTGACCTTGTTGGCGGCAGCGGTGGCCATCTCCTCGACTTCGTCGCCCAGGGCATCCGTGATGTCGGACGGTGCCTTGCCTGTAAGCCTGTCGATCCAGACGCGGACCAACTCGTCCGTGGTGGCGCCGGGGTACTTGGCGCGGAAAGCACGAAGAGCTGTCTTCTCGAGGGCGGAGCGCTTGGCGATGACTTCCAGGCTGCACGCAGGCCATCTGCTCGGTGACCATCCCCTTGGCGGTGTCAGCGTCGATGGGCTGCACGCGGTGGGACTGAGACGCCGGCCCTGATGCTGCCATTGCAAAGATGAAGTGGGGAGAAGGCTTATGGGTCTACACTGGGGAGAGCTGAAACTGTGCTGCACATAACGTGCAGAGCCAAGCTGGTCACATGGTTCGCAGCAGGCTCCTACAAGCTCCTACTCGACACATAACATGTCGGCTCTGCGTGTGGAGACGGTAAGCATGTTGTCCCTGACTCTGTCTAGCTACACATGTCTTACGCTACTGATGTGAGGCGGGGCTTGTTTACACTCTGCTGTCGGGTGACATGTTATTCGAAAGTCTGGGCGCAAGGTCCCCCGTCACCTCGGTGGTAAGGGGCCCGCAACCGCTGTCAGGTGAAGAGCTCCAGAAAGATGTACATTCACAAACAAGGTTCCCCTTCACCTCCGTCACCTCGGTGGGAAAGGATCGGGGGAACCACTAATCCGGTGGTAACGCATCTCTCACGACCCTTCACCTCGGTGGGAAGTCGATCGAGACACGCTCAGCAAGAGGCGCTCACATGCCGCGACGCCAATGGAGTCGGGGCGGATTGCCGCTGACGGTGACCACTTGCACCCAGTCGTCGGTGAACCGGGTTCTCCACGCCATCGGCAGCATGAAACATACGCAGTCCAGAACCGCGTCGGTGAAGGCCATGATGTAGCGCTCGACGGATGGTCTGTCCTGGGTGAACCTGCGAACATGCACTGCCAGGGCCATGTAGTCCCGGAGAATGAGGTAGCAGGACTCCGGGTTGTTGAAGCCAACCTGTCGCAAGTCTCCGGTGATGAGGGCCCAGACGTATGCGCGGGTCACGAGCACGGTGGGGTCTGTGCTCTGGGCCGGAAGAGGCATGATGAGCACGCGTTCCACTGTCGGCGTGCGTCTGTAGGTGTTGGGGCCTGGATCACGAAACCGAAGTCGGTGAGCCCGGACTCGGTGACGTGGTAGTCCAACGCGAACTCGACTGCGCCTGTAACATCGAGGTGTTCACGAACCACGGTGCATCCGGGGCGAAGGCCATGTGGCTGGCACTGCTGGTGTAAGCGTGTTGTGTACGATGGCGGCCCTTGCTGGCAGCGTGTTGCCCGTGTATCCCCATGCTTGTGGAAGAATGGGGTTCGGTGGTGTGGGTGCGTGGTCGAGCGAGCACGGCACCGTGGTACGGATGGGGAGTGTGCTGCTGCAGCCCTGCCGCCTTTTCGTGAAGATGCTGTGTTGCTGCGACGGTGCTGCTGGTGCCAGTGGGCGGAGGATGGGTGCTGGTTGTGGTAATGGTGCTGGGTGAAGTGGTGGCAAGGCTGGCGGTGGAAACTGCTGTGGTGTAGGTGATGGTTGATTGGGCCAGGTGTCGTCCCAGACACTGTACGATGCGCTGGGCTGCTGGGGTGCACCGGTGTGGTGATGTTGAGGTGCCTGGCGAGGCGTGGTCGCTGCTGCAGCCACCGGTTGGATGTCTTCGTCCGAGTCTGGTGGAAGAGGAGGTGGAGCTTTGCGAGGTGGCGGGGATGCGGCTTCCGGGGCTGCGATGTCCTCTGTCGCTTGTGGCATAAATCTGGCCGTTGGTGACTCCGCGCGCTGTCTGACTGGCTGCTTGTTGTGTGGTGATGGTGCTCGCTTCGGGGCGGCCAGGTGCGCCGGCGGGTCTTTGGGCATGGCTTTCACCGGTGGTGCCTGCATAGGTGCCGCGCTTGGCTGCTGCTCTTGGTGTAGCTGATGGAGCACGGTCTCGCCGCGGCGATGGAAATCTTGATCTAGTAGGTGTGGGGGAGCGCCTCCCGTATCCCCCTCTGCTGGTACGGGGGTCCGTCTCAGGTACTCCGCCACGAGCAAGGTGATTATCGTACGAAGATGCCATGGGGAACTTGGTCCAACTCATCCCCATGATGAATTGTTTGATTGCCATGGTGTCGCTGGTGGTTAACGACGTCATGATCATGTCCATGGCTTCGGACCTGGTGACGAACCTGAAGATGGCCCGGTGCTGCACGTAGTGTAGACGCGTGGATGGCCTCTTCATGGTCAGCTGGCGAAATGCTGCATAGACCGCCTCGGGGAACGTGTCGGCGTGCAAATTGGGGCAACCGCCTTCTTTGGTGCAATGACCCCGAAAGAAGTTACGACACGGGGAATTATGGGGGACCCAGGCGTGGTCTACAAAATCGGGGTGGATGCATTCACAATGAGGTCTGCGGCAGGTCTGCCGGCCACACACATCGGGGCAAACTCGTCTTTGACCAAGGGGGAACTCGCGCTGCATGCCCATGGGGACGTCCTCCATAAACTCGGCGAGGATCTGCATCGGTGGGTTGAGGACCTCGTGCAAGGAGATGTCCTGGCCAAAGAAAAGCGCCCAGTCACGTCTGGTGGCGCCTGGCAAATCGTCCCAGGCGGGGTACTCCACAACGTCGGGGTTCCGCTCCAAGGCCGTCATGGTGACCGACGCAGACCAGATGAAGATGCTGGCTCCGGCAGCTCGGTGTCTGAGGTGGTGCTAGAGCTCGAAGATGAAGACGAGGAAGGTGGTGAACGTAGGTGAAAGATATCCGCGGCAAGGCGCACGAAATCCTCACGATGCGGGCCGGCCAACTTGCCCTTCAGGTGGACAAAGAGGTCGTTCCAGAGAAGGCCCTCGGTGGCCTTTCGCAGGTCCGCAATGTAGCGGCAGATGCTGCTGTTGGTGCGCCGGCCCTCGGCGGTAAACTGCTCCCACAAACAGTTTTCAGCTAGGCGAGAAAGTTGGTGCTCCTGTGAGTCCTTGGTGGTAGAGGCGGAGCCGGAAATGGCTCAAGAATTTCTGGACACTACGTGTCCGACTCTCAAAGGGGCACAAAACTGAACCCAAACGGCCACGGATGCGTAGATCAAAGGCATGATCATCTTCACGCTTTGGGGTTCAAGGTTTGGTGCTAACAGATTGTCATTCATGACGCACGCGTAATACACAGGAAGCTCAATGCAGACCCCAAACATATGTTCCTTAATTTAGGAAGCCCCAAAAGGGTCCTCGATTTCTGCAGCCCCCCGCCTAGGTCGCTACAGGGAATATTCTAGCTGGGGAGGGAAGCGAAATCTAGAGGAAATTCATGTAGCGCTTAGCGGAAGACAGGGGCCTACGTAGCTAAAGTTTGAGTTTTAATTTTCGTGGGGTCTAAAAGCGTTCATACGGGCTGTTGTGGTTATGATAGGGTTGCGTGCATGGCGCGCAAAGCATGATGCCAGCAGCATCTGGGGCTCCTTTAGCCCGTCAAGCCATCCACGTCGTCCCCGACACTCAGCATGTGCCTGAGTGGATTGGACTTTGCGGCTCGGTTTTGAAGCGTAGCTTGTGTGTTTAACATCTAGAAATTCAAAGAGCTATACCTGCGTTCCTTTTGCCAATGAATTGGAAGCTCTCACTGTGGCTTATGCAAGCAGTGCTCCACCTATCGTTGGGGTCGGATGACGCACCGTCCAGATTGCATTACCAAGTAGGGCCGCGGACCATAGCTTGATAAAACATCCTATGACACCTAAAAAGTTGCTGCTGCTGCTGCTGCTGTTATTCAATGGTCATTGGAATTAAGGTTGTAATGCTTTTGCGCTACAGCTCTGGGAGCTATGAGAGGAGCACAAGCTTCAGAACTTGCACCGTGAATTACACCCAAACATTCAAGCCGAAACTCCTAAACCCGGAAGCCAGAAAAAGAGAATATGCTACGGCATAAAAAGAGGTGCTCTCAACTACCCCAAAAGTAAACCCTCAACTGCCCTTGAAGCCTCGTCTTTGCACCCTGCTGATGTAGCCCAAAGCCTTTAGCTACATTAAACCTGCTGAGTCCTGCACCCAAAACGCCAATAATAGCTAAAGCCATGCCACTCGGTGAAGTCAGTACCGTCCCAGGCTACAGCAGCCAAGGCAATGGTCGGAACGCACAGGAGGGAAGCCTCTCCGAGGATCTTGGAAGCACCAGGGCATTTGGGTTTCAAGAACTCTTGCTGGAAAAGAGTAGGAACTTGCATCTGAAAGCGCAAGCCCTGTCCCCGAAGCCTTCAGTTCCAATCAAACCCTGAATACCCTAAGCCCTGACCCACCAGCCTAAACCCCAACCCCTAAATCCTAAACTTCAACCCTCAACCCTGCATCACGGAAGCTTCCTGAACTAGACCCTTCAACCCCAACACTAAACCCTCCTCAGCCTTCTAAGCCTGAAATTATTCCCCCTTTCAACCTCAACTCGCTTCTTTTCTCCTGGACGCGGCGTCTTTCAGGCACCCTCGGAACTTAGGAGTGGCTGGGCGGGAGTCTGTTGCTCCCGACTTGTAAAGGTGATGTCCCCAGCCCGCAAGGACTGCCTTAGTTTAGGTAGCAGGGACTAAGTTGTGCGGGAGGTTTTAGGGGTTATAAGGTCAGTGATTGGGGATTTGGGGTTGTGGGTCGTGGGATTAGACTCGTTGATTATACAGAATAGAGCCCAGGGCTCTCCGTACTCGGGAATTGGTATCACCAACCAGCCCGGACAGCCAAAAGACACATGCGAAGGGATTATTCGGCGCTAAATGAGCTTTGAACAAGTCTGGCGCTGGGGAATATTCTATCTCTTACGCACACAGCCAACCTAAGGCCTCAAGAAGCCCTGAACAAACTTCAGAGGGAAATGCCCTTGCCGACGAAGTGATGTTTTCAAAAAATAGGTGCGTAGCTTCTGCTGCGAAGTTCGTCACAGTGTCAGATGAGTGTGGGGAAGTTTCCAGAGGTTTGAAGCGTTCTTCTGTCTCCTAGGGCCAACAGCCCAGCCCACCCCGTGCCCAAAAACCCTAAACCTCTGACCGGATTGAACCTGTTCCCCGGTCTCCCCCTGCCCCACACTCTTGTCCATTCCATGGCAACATTTGCAAGCCTTGGGCATCACATCCAGTCCCTAAAGTCACAACCACATTCCCAACCTCTGATACCCCAACTTTAAGCCTAAATTTTTTACACGAGACGCGCAACCCTTCTGCTCGACTCTCATCTCACGTCCTAAACCAAAACGGTAAACTCCCATCCCTAAACATTTCCGAGCTATGGCAGCCTGGCTTATGGATTATGGCTTGTGCTGGGTTATTCCCTCTTTCCCTACTCGACACCTAAACCTTTGATGCCATAAGTAGGTCTATGTACCAGGGCATAATGGTGGGCAAGTTGCTGGAACATGGTCAGGTGCATGTCAGCCAAAAGAGACCTGCGTGTGGCTCCAGGCGTTGAGGCTTTGAGAGAAAAGATTATATAGTGCCGGATGTTAATTACTGGGTTGTTGTTAAGGACCTTAATTCAAGTTGCCATAATATGGTACATAGTCTGTTCTAGAGATTCCTTTTTGCAGTAACTTGTTCGAAGTTCCTCAGCAGTAACCCAAGCTACCCCCGTCCAAAAAATGGTCAAAGATCCTGGGCTTGTCTCAAGAGTTTCTCTTTTGGCTTGCCCTGCGCACATGTTCCTACTGGGGATTAGTAGGGAATAAAGGAATACACTATACAGGGTCTATATGGGGATTATATTCCCTTATTCCCTACTGATCTCCACTAAGTATTGCAAGAGAATAAACGGGACAGTCTTGAAGATGAAAGCAAAGCAGGCCGATATACAACTCTAACAAACCCTCTGCTAGTCCATAGTCCCTGGGCTCTACATACATAATGTCACTGAAAGCCTCGTGAACCGGCCAAGCCCCCCAGTCGTATTCATCTAAAACCTGAAAGCTCTGAACCCCAAAACTCTCAAACCTAATCCCTCAACCCTAAACCTCAAATTCTCAACTCTAACCCCTCAACCCTAAATCCCAAAGGGCCTAGAGCAAGCAATTGCAAAGTCCAGGCATTTCAGGCAGGAAGAGGCCCCCAAGCGATTGGCCAATAGTATCACTGACACCTTGGTGTTTCCCACATGTGAATTTGCTTCTTTTTTTAAGCTGCACTCTTGCGACCGAAGCACGAAAAGCCCACCGAGGTTTAGGGTTCAGGGTTTCGGGGTACCCAGACCATGGGACATTATTGTAGTATTTGGGGTCTATATTGGGGTCCCCCTATTTAGGGAAGCTACCACCTCAGCCAGGATGCTCAGAATTGAGCATAGCGATTACAAGGGAACAGCAGCCACGTGGTCTAGGTTTGGCGGTCTGGGGTTTAGGGTTTGGTTCAGAAATGGCATGTCCCTGCAGCTTACCTGGGTTCCCCCAATAACCGCTTAAGAATGGGGGTACCCTTTTCCCTGATGTTCAGCTTCAAGAAGGAGACCCCAAAATGAAAAGGGGAAAAGGGAACTGCTAGGGTACTAAGTTATGTAACGGAGATTGAGGCAATCTACGCAAAGGTGTAGGACTGAAAAACTCAGGTCGAGAAGTGCTAACTCCGGAATCCCTACATCACCAACCGTTCATCCCAGTATCCTAAATCCCTACATGCCATGTTTTCCAAAAGGCATGGTTCCAATGAGGACCCCGAATACAGCTTCATGTTTCTGACATACTTTGAGAGAAAGGTGACGCTCCAGCTTCTTCAAGATCAGGACATGGCCGCAATACTACCCAAGAGAGAGGCTACGATGCTCTTACATGGGGATAAGAAAAACATTCCAAGAGCGACCCCCCAAACCCACCAAAACCTGTCTACGAGAGAGCCGCCACTAGTTAGGAACCTTCCGATTACGTAGATTCTTTTGGCAACCAAACACCCGAAACCCGAAACCCCAAACCCAAAATCCCCACTTCGTAGTGTCAGGCAAAGCCTAGGTGTAGAGTTGGCCCTAAGTTATCTTCATCTCTGTGCAGGGACCGTTCCCGAACCTGAACTCCACAGCCCAAAACAGAAACCCCGACCTCCAAACCCCAAGCCTCGGCCCTGAACCCTAAAACCCCACACGCCAAAGTAAATCCTAAACTGAACACCAAAGCCCCTCAGATCTGAAACCCCAAAACCACAAACGGCAATCCTAAATCCTCGCTGCGTTGCCAAGGCACAGACCAGCTTAGCACAACAGACATGGAACCTCACTTGCCAGGGTCTCAGGCTTGGTAAAAGCTTGGGGTTGTAGGATTTAGGGTTCAAGGCTTTGGAAGTTTACATTTTGGATAGTGTTTAAATTTGTTGCATGGTATCAAAGTATTTTGTCGCCTCCAAAGACCTGGAAGCTTTGTTGTGTGGTGTCTTGCCAAGACAAGCCCTGAATGCTGTTTGTATAAGGATACCTGGTTTACTTGGTTGGGATGCCAAAGAAGAACAACCTTATCTTGTGCGGGTCCCCATGCAGTCGGCAAAACAAGGAACGCAAAAATGGGCTCTTCAGTCCAGGCGCTGCTCAAGATGTTCCCCCAAAAACGGCAGAAAACCTAAGACGACTGAAGCCTCAACCCCTTGATCCTCAAGCTTCCCTTTCGAATCAACGTGCTGTCCAAGCTTTTGTGCACCTGTTGCATGGTTACAACTACATGGAATAAATCCCCAGCTACCTCCTCAAGACCCGTTCGCTACACCCCTTGGCCGAGGAACATGAAGCACCCCAGCATGCGAACCAAAGGAGACAGGTGGAGGCAGCAAAGATTGCCATAGCCTGGGTGGCTTTTTGATGCGGGCGGCTCTCCGAATCAACGCTTTTATAGCCCCTTTTCGAGTACCCTGCGTCAATACCACAGCAAACGTGGTATATAGTATACACAAAGGGACGCCGGAGTTGGACAACTGCCCATGTGAGCTGCAATTAGGACTTGCAAAACCATGCACCGACACGACAGTTGACTGCATTCCCTCTCTCCTTCGTAGCTTTGCTTTGAAGCCTTGATTTAGGCAAGCGCCAGTTTCGGGTGGATTAACAACAGGTTTCGCTGTTCAGGACTCATAGTGCAGGGGTGTATTCAACGAATGTGCAAGTGGTCCTACAAGTACAGTCAGCCCCTCTGCATCGCCCTGAAGAATCTTGCCAGTGAGATCTTTTGGCCCTAGTACGCTGCAACATTGATTTGGAAGCCCGACTCAAGTGAGCCCTTTGAGGATTGTGTGGACTCATGCAACTCCCATGTCAGCAATCTTCGATCTTGATATGGGTCCTCCGTATAGCTACTGCAAGGGTCCTTATAGCTCCCCAGTGCTGCCAAACGGCTGAATCTTTATACCTCAATTTGCCATTTGCTCTGAAGCCCGCCGACTTCCCAAAACACCCACCACATGCCACCACCTTTCCCGGTCCACCCCAAACCCCGCCAAACCCTGAACCTTACACCCAGAAAACCTGAACACAGCTCCCCCCCCCACTCTGAATGCACCACATCGTCCTCCAAACCCAACAAGCTTCCGCACACTCAGTAAATCGTAAACATCCTTAAGCCCCCGAATCCCGAACGCCAATCCTCAAAAATCAAAAGCTCCTGGGGAAACCTTACCCCCGAAAACCTTGAAGCTTAAACCTAAAGTCTCTAAATTCAGAACACGCCGATACCTCATCCAAGCGGCTCCCACGCGTGACCACTTCTCAACCTGCACGTCTTCCTCGCCTGCCGGCTCCCGCCCTGCGGCGGCCAAAAGACTGCGTAAAATCCTCGGTTCAGAGGGACTATGGTTTACCGTTCAGGGATGATTCGTTCAGGGATCTGGGTTTAGTGGTTTTGGGCGCAGGTTCAAGGACTTGGTTTTCTTTTTTGGGGCTGTACAGCCGGGGATTCAGAGCTGGCTGTTCAGCGTTCAGGAATCTGGGTTGCTGTTACGGAATCTAATTAACTTACCATGAAATGGGTATATGGAAAAGAGAAGGGTATCCCCATTATAGTAACTTAATTCAAAAACTTAACATCAACCCAGAACTTGGTTGTTCTGAAGCTTCCGGGATAAAGGGGATCGGGCTTTGGATTTTTTGAGATCCATGGGCTTCTTGAGATTGAGGATTGTGTGCTCAATGCCTCTGGGGTTCAGGATTTGGCTATTGCTCGGGGTCTTCTGCATTCATTTCAGGATTTAGGAAAAAGTCTCTGCAGTTTCAGGGTGATCACTCCAGCCAGGTTGGGAGCGAAAGGCGCCATCACGTATTGGCGGTATCTAGGAACTACCGAGATGCAACTTAGCCTTAGCCCGCATTGTTAGTAAGTGCATAAGCATAGGGTGAACATTTGTCAGAAGGTAGGTGATCGCCTGCCGAAAGTATATAGGTACCTGTAGTGCGGCAGCCGCTACGTCTGCTCAGGATGAGTTCATCTCAGTCCGAAATCCGAAACTTGAATAGGTGTACAAAGGGGCGGCTCGTGAACAAGCACTGCCATGTCATCCCTTGAGAAAGCACTGCAGCCCCTAGGCTTTCTTCAAAAGGCAAAGAACCATGTCATCGCATCCAGACTCCCCAAAAAGAGCATTGTTGAACTAATTCAGGCAGTGGATCATGGGACAGTGCAAGATCGCAGCTACAGCAGCAGCCGCTTCCAGCGCTGTAAACATGATGGAGTCAGCGTCCTGCTGTTGGATGATTCCTCAGATCGGGCTGAGGGCTCAGGCTGAAGAATCCGCCCGCAGACACAGGGGGCCATGTCCAACTTTAGAACTTATGGAAACCCCGCACTAGGATCTCTGAACCCTGAGCCTTACCATAAAGCTCGAAACTGAACTGCGACGAGTCTTTCATAATCTTCCTACGCTCTCAGTCTCACGCCAATCTAGCGTAGCCGACATCTACTAAAGGGCCTTCGCCCGACGAACTTCGTCCACACCAGAGTCACACTAGGTACAACTCAGCGTATGTGTTGATCAATGTTCGGTTGCCCAGAAAAGGACCCAGAACTTCAGATCCTTTTGTGCTGATTTCAACTCAATGTAAGGGAAACCCTGCCAAGCATGAATGGAAAAAACGACAAACCCACAGATAAGGATCAAGGCTCGAAACGCTGGATACTTAGACCTACGTCCTGAACCCGTAAGCCCGAATCCGTTTACCCTAAACATGGCAAACCCTGAACCCAAAACCCCAAACCCTAAACCCTCAAAGCCTACCTGTCAAAATTAGTAAACAATCAGCTAATATATCATTTGGGTATTACATACAGGCTATATTCCCGTATTCCCTACTAACCATGCTAAACCCTACACCCCTATAAACCCCAAGCCCCCAAAACCCCTAAACCTTAACCCTTAAACCCTAAACCCTAATCCAAAACCCTAAACGACCAAACCTGAACCCCTAAACTAGTAAGCCCTAAACTTCTCCAAAGACAGCCCCAGAGTCGCTTTCGATTCATCACGGGCGCTATCCAGACAGCCATGCGGCCTGCCAAGAGCCTGAGGGTTGAAGAGTCAGGTTTTAGGGTTTAGTGTTTAAGGTTTCGGGTTTAGGGTTTAGGGTTCAGGGCTTAGGGTTCGTGTTCAGGTCGGGAGTATTGTGGTTTTTATCAAGTTTCCGTTTTAACTTTTGACCTACACAATTTGAATGTATCTGGGCTTGAAGTTTAGGGCTTAGGGTTTAAGATTCAGGTTTTGAGATTCACGCGTCTAGGGGTGTTACGGCTCAGGTCTTTAGTGTTTGAGGGTTTAGGTTCAGAGTATAGCTAACCCGGGCATGGATTTGCCAAGCCCTGAACCTGTAAGATGCTTAAAGCGAGATTTCAGAGCTTGTAACTGAGGTTCTGCAAAAACTCGAGTAAGCACCACACAAACATCGTGCACCGGACGGAAATGCCGCATCCGGCCAACAAAAAAGGTGGACAGAACCTTCAAGATGAAAGGTTTCTAAGAATTTGGGGCTGGTGTCTGTGGTGAAGAGCTCATACGAGTTCAGAGTAGTTTCCATTTTCTTCATCATTATCCTCATATAAACCCAATAGACTATAGTAGTTTGCATAGTCTTTTCCACTTTCCCCGTATTTCCCCAATATATACCCTATTATAATATAATAGTTTCCATTTTCTTTTCCATCACCCAATATATTAGCAAGGCTAGCCTCCAAATGGGGAGGCCTTTTTATTAGGGGAAGACCTTAATTAAGCCCTACGTGCAATCTTGATCAACAACGAGCCAGCAACCAGAGGGAGTAGTTGACGATGAAGCCTGGGGATCGCCACATAGGGGCCGTTTTGGGGCTTGGAGCCTAGATAAGTGTTTAGTGCAAAGCGTGTTGGGTCTTTGTAAGGTTAAAGCCTTCTGAAGATACTGGGCGCTAAGGGAACCTGCAGATATGCGGGGTTTCTACCAAGGAATATACAATACGGGTCCCTAAGATGAGTTCCAGAAACACGATTCTGAAAAAAAATCTCATTTAGTCGGTAATCCGAAAACTCTGACACGAACCCTTGGAATGCCCAAGGTTTGCTTGAAGGACTGCAGGGGTCGTCATATTGAATTTTCTCAGCATTCGGAGACCCCAATATAGACCCTACTACGCTCTAGTCCTTATTATGCAGACACCCAAAAAAGTACCCCAGACGTTGGAAAACACCCGTATGTTTTTATCCAGCTCCCGGGCAGATTGTCAGATTGTTGTGGCCAGGGGCTAAGATGCGTGAAGGGTTGAAAAGCATTCCCCCCGAAAAACACATCTTGGGCATGGCGGTTCCATGTATGAGTAGCCGCACGAACGCCCAGCTTTGGGACAGTAATAACCCCAGACCTCAGAAGACCTCCATGCTAAACGTCCTGTAAATATTCCGCCATGATTGTAAAACTCATGAGTATTTACTCTTGTAGGGTGTGGGGGCCAATTTACAACACCGCACAAAGCTGCCAAACAAGGATCTAGGAGCTTGTGTTCATTGCAAGCGTGGCTACAACCCAAGGCACGTGCGTCTCGACGGCCAGCAAATCCTGAGATCGTTTTGTTTATGCAGTCGCACGGGTTGCTGTTGCTGAACATAAACTAAGTTCTCATACTGCATAAGGGTCCCTTTAAAGGGGTAAGTTGCCGGAATATGGACAAAGGATGGAAAACCAAATGGGAAAGAACATGGGAAATACATGGAAACGGCCATATTGATGAAAAGGAATCTAGGTACAAATGCAGTACAGATTTACAGAACATCATAAGATATACAATAAATAACATGGAGAAGCTTAGGGCCCTGTTCCCGATGACTAACAGTCCATTATAGGGATCATATCGATGGTTTTTATGACTCTACGATGAATACTATTCGGTTGTTAATGAGTGGTGGCAGTACCCAAGCAAATGATATACAATGAATAATGTGGGACAAGTTGATTCAAATTCCTTAGCAGCAACCTGGCTTATGGGTATGGTTTAAGGTTAGGGGTCCACCGGGCTTTTCTAAGGGACTTTTTAAAATTCAATGATGAAGGGTACATACTGTACAGGTTTAGAGTTATGAGGAAGCATTTTTATCTAATTACCATATACTCACAATATTGTACCTCAAATTAAATTCCTTACCAGCAACACAATCCATGGTAGCTACCAGCTCATGATGCCCAAAGTCCTGCGGCTTAATCTCCCCAAAAGAGTAAGCCAGTTAAAGTAACCAATCCCACTGTTTCTTACCGCCTTCTTTCTAGTTACAATCTTACTTATCGCTACCTCTAGGCCCTAAAATCCCACCCTTCACCTTCATATCTGTACCCTAAACTTTCATTTACTTCGTACCTTAGCCCCAGCATCTTCGGTCGGTGGCCAGAATCGCGCCCAGCAGCTCTTGAGACATACGAACTCAAGCTTCCTGAAAATGCAAATTACTGTTTAGGGTTAGGGATTCCGCTTTAGGTTTCCAGGTTTAGGGTTTGGTGTTCAAGGTTTAGGGTTCAGGGTCTGGGGTTCAAGGTTTAGGGCTTAGGGATCTACGGTGCAGGGTTCACGGTTCAGGATTCACAGTTTAGGTTTTAGAAATATCCTCCCTTATATGCAGAATTCTAGGGGCTATGCAGGGATATTCTGGGCAGCATGTAAAGATAAAATGATTTCATCCTAGACATGTTTTGAGTTGACTCTTCCCCAAATTAACATGGAGCCCCAAGTGATCTCATGAAGATTAACTGGAAGGGGTGTGCTTTCACCAGGTTTAGGGTTTTGGTTTCTACGTTAATCCTAATTGTCCAATGTATTTGTGCCAACATGGCCAAAGTGGTATGTTACCTTTTGCTTCGCATCCCCTTCACGGAAGTGTAGTGCCAATAGCCCCTTCTTTATGAAACATTTAGAACACGCCCCGGATGAGGATTCGTCATTATTCGGGGGAATGGCATGTGCGGAAAAACACTGTTGCCCCCTGTGGGAATATACAATATCATGGATAGCTGGGTGTCCCAAGCCCAAAACCTCAAGTTCCCTACGCTCCAACACCAAACCTTACCCGTAAACCCGAAACCACTCCCCTTCCACCCCAGATCTCAAAACACCAGACCCTAAACCCCTAGTTCTTATCGTGCACTCTGAGCCCCAAAAACCGACATCTTAGACTTGAAATTCCGAAGCGAAAAACAAACAGCAAGGCAAACTCAGCTTCCTTCTACTACTGGACCTATGCACGCAGGTGAATGTTTAGAAGCACACAAAACCACCACGGAGTTAACGCTCTGAATCAATCCCACTCAGAGCCATGAACATGGGGGGGGGGGCGACAATTTACCATCCCCAAACCAAAAGTACATCGATTAGGAATACTGTACTGTCCGTACCATGAGTATAGCAGTAGTAATACAGCAGCAATAATATTGTAGTAGTGATAGAAGAAGTCAGTGATGGCAATCGCAACCATATTTGCAATAGTATAATGGAACCGCAAAAGGGGTTCTTTAAAGACTGCCGCCCTTCCGGGGTTTTGTGATCAACTTCGTTTATCTTGTTCCAGATCCACATATGGTATACCGGACAGCTCAATGTCTAGAATCTTGAGCCCCGAAAAAAGCAGACCAGGGGAATTCCCGAAATTAGGGTACCGTTTGGGGAACCTAGTGATAAGGATTTTTGCTAAGGATTTTTGCTTTTTGGGGTCCATATACGGGTCCCCTCTTTCGGGAAGACCACCAGTCTCTCGGACCTAACCCCAGGCTCTTTCCTTAAAGTCGGAGCGGCTCTGCCTATTTTTCTGATGGTGGAGGCGGGCCTCTAGACCCTTATAAAACTTCAAGACTAAACCATGGACCCTAGATACTACTACTACTACAACAACTACTACTACAACTACTACTACCACTACACTATTATATTAAGATGTAAGTAAAATTATCCTCAGTATACTACTATTCTATATATACATATATTCACTGTACGTACTATACTACTATATTGTGTTCAAAACAACAGATGGCAAGGTTCAGGCACATTAGGGGCATCGCGGCTGACAGAACGGGAAGAAGGCTTGTCCAAAGGTTGGCGGAGTTGGCGCCATGCACGAGGTGCCTTGTTGGATAAAAGCAACGGTCTAGGGTGCAGGGCTCAGGGTCCGGGTCTCCGGGTTTAGGGAGTAGGGGCCGCACAATACGGAATTCCTGAGATACAGCACTATGCGAACAAAACTGTTTTACGTTCGGAAGGCTGTACCACATTGCCGATGCAAGAAATTGTAAAAACGGAAAATAGCAATCATTAGCAGGTAAGGAGCAGGACGACAGGCAAGGCGGCGAGGACCATTGTCATGCAAAGTGTTGCAAACAGCCGGTCATCTTCACCTAGGTCGCTTGACTTCCGCCCTTACCAAACTCACCCCTCTCAAGCACACCCGATAACTGCAGTTTTCGCCCCTCAGGACGGACAAGGGAACATAATGGATATGGAAAAGCGCTGGTCTTGGACACTGGGGGTGCTGTGACGTTGTGCATAGCTGGGTCTGCCCTAAATGGGCGTTTTCGTTTAAAACTAGGTCGTATTCCGTTAGAAATGACATGTTGGGACTGCCGTCACAAATATCAGAGGTCTCAGTGGAGGGAATGCAGACTAGATTCCCCTCAGGGACAAGGATTTCAGGGACAAATGGGGATGATAAGAGGATCACAAGGTTACTTACTCCGGTTTATGTAGTTCTATCCACTAGGTACCTAGAGACTTCTTACCCAGCAATGACCGAGATACCATAGTCCAGAACCAGAATGCGTGGAATCCAGCGCAGACGCTCCGCGCTTTCCCAGCGACGTAGCGTGGGAGCTGCTGCCCACGTGCCAACACCGCACCTCACTAACTACTAGGGTTTTTGGCGTTTAGGCTAGGGAAAAGATACAGAGTGCAACACCCGGAGGGCAAAAAGATTACCCGGAAGAAAGCAAAGGCTTGGAAGGCTTGGAGTTGCAAGCAAGGCACCACAAGGCAAGGGGAAAGGCCCAGCGGCCCACCAGCAACAGAGTCATCACGTAGGCAGGCGGCTGCGTGTCAGGTTTTGGCCTGGAGGTCACCGCCACCTTCAGATTTAGGGCCTGTATAGGTCTTGGGATTGAAAAGGTTTTAGTGTAAAACGTCATAAATGAGAAGTAGAAATTGAACCATAAGCAACATAGGAAGAAACGTGCCACTTCTCAATCTTTCTAGGCTTTGGCATAGAGGAAGCAAATGTCTCAACTTCCTGGGGTTTAAGCTCTCACCGACATTGGAATGTTTTTCGCCATACAGGCAGCCGCCTCGCTCTTCTACATGGCGTGGATTCTAGGTAGGTTGATATTCGTAGTAGTAGCTCAACAGTCAGGTGGCCGCGCCACAATGGGAATATTGAATCCTAATTAGGGGGGCGGGGGGTTTAATTCGAACATTAGGGGAGGTGATTGTCATGGTGCCAGGGATTACTCGCCAACTTCGCAACCAGGAATAACAAGTGCCATACTGTAAGTTCCATTGTCAAACGGCCCCCTACGGGTTTAGCCCAAACCCCCAAGCCATAAACCTCAACAGCCATAAACCCTTGGCCGCCTCGGCCATGGGGCCCAGTTTGGCCCCTCTTGGAAGGGTTCGAGAGATCGGAGCCTTCCACATCAATTTTGACAATCGTGTTCTGGTTCCAGATGATGCACTCATGCGAGCAGACGGCCACCTGCACGCCATGCTTCGTGCCGCGCGAGCAAGTGTTGGCCAGCGTTCTGGTTGACTTCCAGCTGCCCCGGATGTTGTCTCCAAGATTGTAGGAGTGGCCTTTTGGGCTTCATGAAGGTCTCGATACCATTCATGAAGGTCTCGATGGCCAGCTGCGCCGGGATTTCAAGGAATCGGTTTAGGGGTTACACTTTCAGGTGGGGAGTTCCCATGTGGGTTTCCGTACACAAGGCTTGTACACAAGGTTAGAATAAAGCTGGTAAGGGGAGACCAGCAGGCGTATATCAGGCCTATATAAGGCGTACAATATTGCGCAACATGGGGCTTTGCGAGATAGGGACGGCGGACATCCTTATTAAAAGAACAACTTGTTCGGAAAGAAGCCCCCGCCTCCCACCAGAACATGAAGCACACAAGCGCGCAGAGGAACTTCCTCTGGTTGAGCTCTTCCAGCCGTTGCACGAAGTTTTCGCGAGCCTGCTGAACTGGAGCGCAGCAACACTCAGAAAGACAGCAGCGCACGGCTCTTGCAGCGTGGCTTGTCCAACCTGTATTTGGGAGATCTCCAAACGAGAGACCGACGGCTAAATTGTTATACTCTTGAAATTTGATTTGAATAAACGCTTTGGGAACAACCCTAAACCATAAACCCTACATCCCAAATCTTGAGTAACCTGCGCTTGCCAGCACTTGTTGCGCCAGGGTCTCGTGGCAAACGTCGCACTGCACACCGGCTGCAGGAAGGTCGCACAGCCCGCTGTTGACCCTTGTCCTTATCTAACGCGGCAAGTATGCTAGGGAGGATCTCCTTATCCAAACACACACACACACACTTACATATTGGCTGCTGATTGCGCCGTTTGTGAGGTCTTACTCAAAGCTCAGCCTGCCTCCTGGAAATAGCAATTCAAGCGTGTGCTTTTACGCAAGAAACATGAGTTCCCCAAAAAAAGGTGCTGATGACCACCCAGAAAAGTCTAGAAAGTAGTTAGTCTACCCAGCACTCTCAGTCGTGCATCTCTTTTCTACTACATCCTAGTGAACTTGCCTGTTGCTGTTGGCATGGAATGAAGGAAGGGATCTCAAAAGTGAGCCCTGAAGAGCCTCAGAAGGCAGCAGAGAATATGTTCCCGTTAAAGGTCGCCTGCATTGGATCACTGATCGTAGGGCCCTGAAGAACCTTTATAGTCTTACGTAATTAGTCTTACGTAATGCACAATGAAATGCATCGTATCATGTGGGTACTTTCTAAAAGTGGTTTCCCAAGGAACATCCCAATAAGATCACGACTCTTTGCGCACGCCCTATTTCGAGATGATCAGAGTCCTCAACTAAGCTCCTGACCTAGCACTTTACGCAACCAAAGGTTCCGGGTTGCGTGCGTGTATTGTGGGGCTAAGGCCTTTCGACGCCAGGATGTATAGGATCTACAAGACAAGAAACTTTCAGCCAACCCTAAGCCCTAAATTTGAGCTTTAGGGACCCACACCCAAAACGGCTAGACGAGGCTCTGCCACCACTCAGAGAGGCAATCGCTGTGGACCCAACGCATGGAACCGCGACAGGCGCAGGGCTCGATCAACTCCTTATCAAGCACCGCGAATATCTAGGGATCGAAGTATACAAATAAGAACAATAATGGAGAATCAAGTGGAGAAGAAAATGGAAAATGTAATGGAAACTGGGGCGAAGTATACAAATAATACCTAGATTGGGCCCCAACGACTGCAAATATTACCTACATTGAGCATCTGGATCACAAGGGTAGGGTTGAAGAGTTTACTTTACGTACGCTTAGGGCTCCGGCTGTGGGTATTTAGGGTTTGGGGCACCGATGGAAGTTTCCTGCAGAAACAAGGAAGAGCACATCTACTACCTGCGGGTCCTTAAGCGATTAAACCGTCCTTCGTAGCAAGCACCAGAAACAAATCCATCATGAAGCTACATAGTCTATGTGAACTGCTGAGTGACCGCGTTTGTATGGCAGCCCCCCAACAGCATAATGCAGATGCGGAATAGCTCCTACAGCTGTGCTGGAAAAGCATCATCAAGGACTACAGGGACAGGAGCATGCTACAGTGCACTAAGGACTCTTTGGCTTTTTGATCCTTTTGAATCGGGGCGTCCACTTCAGTGCCTCAACACTGAGCGTTCAATCCTACATCATGCAACCTCAGACAATTCCAACATCTGGCAATAGACCTGTCAACCTCAACATGTCGAAGGGGATCCCGTCTCAAGAAACTCAAACCCTGAACCTTGCATGTCCAAATCACCCCCAAGACTGCCCAAATATGTGCCTATCCCACCTACCCCACATAAAGACTCAGCCCTAGTGTAGATATGATGATTCATTTTTTCAAACAGGTTGTAAAGGCCCTTTAAGACCCTTGGCATATGCGCGGATTCTATGGAGGTTGCGGGAGTCACCCTGAAGAATCTGACGGGGATCAGTTGAGAAAGCCTGCGATTGATATTACCACGAGTGGCCCATCCCCATATGGAAAATAGAGCGCCTATAATAAGGGAAAACATGAGAGAGAACCCTAAGTTTTGTGGTCAATGGCGGGTTCCCCCAAATAGTCCCTATAGAATCCTTGGGTGAGCCATCATCGTCCTCACGACCATCTCATATCTTTCATATCATGTCTTCCTGCCCCAGACTCTACACTTATCACGCCCCACATGACTCAGGCATAGTCCTAAAGCCTGAACTCTGTACCTTAAACTTTGGAATTGTGCCCCTAGCCTCAAACCCTACACCATAACCGTACACCATAGGCCCTTGCAACCCAAAGCTGATTCAGGGAGAGGTTCCCGACCGGGCTCAGACCCGTCCAGGCAGATGCGACAAACCGGCGCTTCATCCGCCATGGCTTTCGATGTGCCGTTGGGGCGATGCTTTGGAGCCAAGCTCCGGCGCGAGGTGACCAAGGTACTTACAAAAGGTTAGTAAGGAATAAGAGGATATATAGGGTTTCAAATGTAGGGATTTGGGTTCAGGGTTTAAGGTTGGTAAGGGATAATGGGACATGGGCATATAATATAGGGTTTAGGGGAATGTAGTGTGGTATAGCGGTATAGTAGGCACAGTAATATATAGTAATATATTTGGGGTAATCATAACTTCGGAGTTAGTGTTGCGGGTTTGGGGTTTATGGTTCCGGATGTAGGGCTTCGGGTCTAGGATTTAGGGTTTAGGATTTAGGGGTTAGGGGGCCTAAGGATTAGGGCTTCGGGTCGAGGATGCTTACCATAACAACCACGCGAGAAGGACTCCGAATTGTTGTGCCCTCCCGGGCATGGCAAGGGACCCGCACTAAAACCCTAAACCCTTTAATTCTTTAAACCCTAAATCCTCAACCTTAAACTCTAAATCCAAAACCCTAAACCCTCAATGCCCACTCCTCAAACCTAGGAAAGCCAGAGGACACATCCATCTTACGCGCTGCTGACTGGAAAAACAAGCAAACAAATCAGCTGTGTCTGAATAGGGTTTAGGGTTTAGGTATACCCGAACACGATCTACAATCTTGTAAGCCATCACGATCACTCGGCCACAGGACAAAAGGTTAGAATTCGTTCTAGGCGGTGTGGGTGTATATTATGGAGTTCCTTAGCGTTAGGAGTGTAAACATGTGGTGGTGATTTTGGGACCAACGTGAATCACAATCCTGCCCTCTGTGACGGGCCATGACGTGAGTCTTTCAGCTGTAAACAAAGCGGTATTTCAGGTCTGATAAGTCTACGGGATTCAAACCCTAAGTGCCAAGCCGTTATACGAGATGGTAGTTTCCTTAAATAGGGGGTCCGCAATATAGATCCAAAAATATTATAGGCCTTGCCATAAAGAACCCCCAAAGGGTACCCCTAATTTCGGGAAATCCCCAAGATAACGCGTAGCAACTATAGGGGTCGCGGGGACAACGCAGCACCTAACGAGCACAAAATCCCCCTTTCACTTCTGACTATGTCGGAAATCCTTCAACTACTCCAAACCCTAAACCCGTTAACCCAAGGAATTCCGGCCAGTTGGGCTCCGCCCCCTAGACTTACTGGGGGTTAGTAGGGAATATGGGAATTTATTATATAGGGGCTATATAAGTATTATATTCCCATATTCCCTACTAGAACCCCAATATATACCCCATTATACTATAATAGCTTCCATTTTTTCATTATCCTGATATAACTCCTTAATATGGGGTTACGCTTGGATTATATTCCCATATCCCCTACTAACAACCAGTAACTAGACCCTGAAATCCTAAACAAATCTGAGAGCTTTTCAGAGCTGTCCATGTCAACCTTCTAAAGCTAAAGTGATCTTCTCAACGCTTGGAGTGCAAGTTTAGGGGTTTTGGGTTTAGGATTACGG